AATCAATAAAAATACAATGAAAAGTAAGAGAATAAAGAAATAAACTAATTAAAAATGTGAAAAATAGACAAGAGTTTTTTTAGATGAACATTTATGCTTTATGAAGTGCCTTCAGCACTGGCTAAAAACTGTATATAAAGAAAACATATTATTATTAATAATAGTAACGCGGTCAGTTGCGTGACACAGCTGGTCATGTGATCTCAACATGCCGGCGTCCATGAAGGAGAGACCCGAGTCATGTAGAATAAACCAGCTTTTTTTTAAGACTGATTGCTCTGGAGTCTTTTTCATTTGTAAACTTTAAAAGTTAGCAAAACATTACTGAGTGCACCTTTAGCTACTGCCTGATAATTAATTAAACACATTAAACACCAAAATAAACATGAACAATAATATGTAAAGAACAGTCAAGCCATCAAAAAAAGAATATGCATGCTATTCTGCTGCCGCACAAGCACAGAGGCCATAAATAAATTAGTTTGTTTAGCTGTGGCCCAAGTCAGAATGAAAGCCCACTGCACTGTATCCACCTAAGCAGGAAGACTCATTAAGGTGAGTTTCACATTCCACATTCGTGCACAAACCAGTCCAGCGATGATGTCATCTTCATTTCTGTTCCCCCCTCGAAAACAACTCAATGAGTTTTCCCGTACAGCAACTTTAGTCTGTTAAGCAGCTGGTAAACGGCAGACAATGAAACAATAGTTTGTTTGCCTCTCGCACGTCACAGTGAATAGCTACCCAACTGACGTGTGGGACGCGTGAAAGACCAGGCGTGCAGTGCATGAAATATGTCTTACCCCAGTCTAGGAACTCCAGGATGTTTTTCTCTCTTCTAAGGGGAGAATTATTGCACTCATCATACAGACAAACAAGAATATCCAGCAAGGTCTCCACGCTGAAGCACTGGCCGCTGGACTGAGACGGGCCATCAAGAATCAGCTTCTCCAGTTTCTTCAAACGCACCTCTCCAGACATGGTTTCAGTTGCTGCTGATGTCTCACAGTATGGTCAGTTTTTGCTCCCACGGTAGCAAACGGGACCGGCCAGTGGCACACTTGAGTGAACGCTCCAACAAACTTAAAGGCTCAAAAAATATTGTAAAGCCTAATCATGGTCCCTCTCGCACCGATGCGTCCATATCAATCCACAACATCATGATTTCGCAGTCCTTAGATGCAGAGAACTTGCAGCCATCGACCCTGCCCTGGCCGGTGGATTTGACGTATATAACCTAAGCTTATGTATTCCCGATTTCAGCTTCTCCTTTAAAGGACACTTTTCATAAAACAAGTCACCAAAGAAGTTTAAAGCAATCCCCTGAGATATGGTGATATCTGTGGTTATCCATTATGCAGTAACAAAAGCGCATCAGCAGCACGGGATCTGCATTGCTACAAAGCCCCATATGCCCCTCCTCTGGCAGGACTGCGAAAGCCCTAGCAAGCTGTTTTTCCTTTAAATTCCTCTCTTCGTATATACAAAACGCTGGCGGAAGGAGCGAGCCTTGCTTTCGAAAACTGTCAAGCACTTGCGGCGAGGGGCTGAAAATAGGCGTCTTCGTTCATGTCTGTTGGAGGACTCCGCTGCTGCCTTCCCCTGCTCCGCTCCCGGTCGCCGTGTGTGTGTCTCTCACAGCTCGCTGCTGCTGCTGCAGGCAAAACCCGACATCATCATGGCGACCGTCACGGCATCTGCTGCAGGGAATGGAGGGATATGCTGGAGGGAAATAGCAGAGTAGTGTATACTAGTGAAGAGTGCGAATTATCCCACAATTAACCGTTGACCTTCAAGGGGGAGGGGTGGTGGTGGACCTTTTTAAGGGATTTCTTTTAGTCATTTGCTGTTGAGGTTCGTTTCGCGCAAGCCAATTTGTCTTCTAACGCAGTGCGCTAACCGTCAACTGTTTTAAAAATGACAAAACACTTGTGTTTTTTTTTTTTTTGTGGTAAATAAATAATCATGTGAAAATGGCAGGACTTTTTTTGTTGACGTACGTCAGCTGGTGACGGAAAAAGCTCGAGCAACGTACTGTTGCTATGGTTACCAATGCAGGCGAACGCGACTTCTGTTCTTGAGCGTCCATTTATCGCACTATTTGTAAGCTAACTTTTTATTTATTTATTGTTATTTATACCTTTGAAAATGCTCTTTAAGTGTGTGTTTTATAAGTATACATACTTTTACATACATTGTTTCAAGTTCATTGTTTTGTTGTTAATTCGCACCTTGAGAGTACTTGAAATTCACACACACACACACACACACACACATATATATATATAATATATATATTCAGTCACTGAAAAACAGTCAAGTCTATTGAAGAGGAAGAATTCAGTTTTTTTTATGTTGTAAAGGTCTCTTGTGGAGAAACTTTGTTATTCTTATGAAAAACGAGCACGTTCGCCCTCTTGTGTCCAATCTTCTGCATTGCAATTGTATGGAATTTAACCAAGTGCGTCTGAGCTCCTCGTTTGGACTTGCATGTCCGTGGGTTTATGTTACTTGTTCAGAGAAGCGGATATGCTTGTAAATGCTACATTAAAACTTGTGTTTTAAAATATCTTAGTGCTAATTTTACAACTAATTTAAAACTGTTACTATATCTAGAAATATATACGCTATTCGTAAAAATTAGACGTAATATGTAGTAACATTTTGATATCATATTTATGCTTCCTTTTATATGTCCTAAACAAGCAAGTTTATGTAGCAAAACATATTTGTAACATCACGGCTGTTAAAGTGTAGCGTTTGACGTTTGAGAACATGACATCTTCTCTTCCAATAACCATTCTTCTATAAATCTGAATCTGACAAATGCCACACCCGGCCTAATAAGGTGCTAATCGTGTCTTTCATGTCAAAACATTTGATGTTAGGACCAAACTGCGGCAGGATGTAGGGAATGTTGAACAGGAAGTTCACATTCAATTATTAATTTCTGTTGACCATGAGAATTTGTTTAAACAATAAACATCCTCAACCACGTTTAAATTCAAATGAGCGCTTTTCATAAATGATCTGCATTATTATTCTAATCGCTGACAGGAGAACGCTGAGTTTTCAACGCAGCAATATTTACAGTCGTTACCTTTATGACGTCGCTTTAGAACTGTTTGTTGTTTTATCAAACCGAGGCAGGACCCGTTTGAATAGAGCTGTCTTTCGTATGTAGTAGAGAGGTGTTAATTAGCGCATGTTTTGTTGATTGGCGTGTACCTCCATCCTTTGATTAAGGGATATACTATCCGTGAGAATTAGATGGTACTTTTATTGACAAAGGGCCTCAAAATAATCGACAAGGGAAGGACAGAAGACTGACAGAAATCACACAAGGATCCAGAACTTCAGTTTACTCTTGCATGGATCATGTGTATTGTACAAAATGAGTCAAGCAGGGCCCTAGACTGAGGATTGTTGGCAATTAATTTCACAACTAACATGACTGTTAAGAATAAAGTTTTACATAAAAATATGCAAAATATAGCATTTGTATTATTTATTTATTTTTTTATGTGGGTTTATTGTTCACATTTCGCATCCAAACTTACAGGATGGTCCAACAAACTATTTCTAAAATATTCAGGAAAAACATGCCTGTTTTTAGTTACAGATTTTCCAGTGTACTTATTTATTTTTTATTATTATTTTATTTTTTATGTATTTATTTTTTTATATAAATTACTTAATCATCTCTTGTAGCAGATATGGCAATACTCATCTGGGCTCAAACAGTGAGCTCGTTTGTCTGATTCTGCATTTGTATTGCCTTAATTTGCCTCTATCTCCAGCCAGTCATTTGTCATCTGTTCTTCCTGTGAGCTCCTTTAGTCTGTCTGACATCTTAGAGCAAATAGAGGGGCCAATACACATACTCAGACACTGGGCCCTCAGTGCCACTAGCCCCTCTTCTAATGTTAGTGTGACCAAACAAGGTATGGTAAATCTGGCAATGGAATCAGATAATCACCAACCTGCGAAGAGCCTCCCAATCCACATCCATACCGCAACCCTGGATTAAACAGTCTGTTTGCCTAATAATTTTAATCTATGCATCAAGCAGAAGGATGGTGGTCTTTGAATAAACATCTAATCCCTCAGCCCACCCAATGATGATGGGCACACAGCGAGGGTGATCAACAGAAAGGTGCTTACACAGAGGTACTGATACTCTGTACTGACAGACTCTTGCCAGACTAGGAATGTTTTACAATGTCCAGGGGAATGTACACATGAGGAACAAGGGTGCTACATCAACGTGCACATGCAAACTGGACAGGAGGGTGCATTCTAGGTTCACTATGTCTGGAAGGTCATCTGTAAATCCACACCACAAGAACATCATGTGTCAGCAATAAAGATAACATTAAATGCAAGTAGAACACATAATCTACATTCAAACATAATTATGTTTATTATCATAATTATGTAATTATGAAGAGATCTTGTGACACGTTTTGGTATTACATAATGTTAAAAATCCATCCATCCATCTATCTATCTATCTATCTATCTATCTATCTATCTATCTATCTATCTGTCTATCTATCTATCTATCTATCTATCTATCTATCTATCTATCTGTCTACATGTTTATCAATTTATCATCTGTTTCATATACGTGTCTATCTATCTATCCATCTATCTATCTATCTATCTATCTATCTATCTGTTTATAAACATGTCCATCTATCTGTCTATCTATCTATCTACATGCTTATCAATCATCTATCTATCTATCTATCTATCTATCTATCTATCTATCTAGATCTTATTCTATTTCAATGAAAAGAGGTTATTTGAATTCTTATTCTTGTTTAAGTTGTACATTTTGCGATAATTTCTCCGATGAATCATGGCTTTCATGTATCACCTTCCCTCTGATGTCAGTCACCACCCCTTTGTCAAAGTGCGAACAACTGGGGGTCTCATGGGCGCATATAAGGACGGGCCGCTGTCAAAGCAGAGTCATCTCAGCCCGAGAACAGCAGCACAGAGTCAGAACCTCTCCAACACCTTCACGTGGAAGATGTCCTCAATCCGTGCCGCGTGCTTCCTCTGCGCAGCACTTTTCGCAATGGTGAGGGGTTTCACCAACGAAGGCATGAAAGACGCTCTGCTGAAGAAACTGGGACTTAGTGAAGTTCCGAAAATTCACAAGAGGGATCTGGAGAACCTTGTGATTCCAACGCACATTAAGAACAAATATATTTCCATGCTGAAACTGCACCACGCAAGAAGACGCCGCTCGCTTCCCAGTTTAGCCGGCATACTGAGGGGAATCCCTGGCAATGCAGGTAAGATTAATATGCAAAATGAAAATGGAAATGCACATGATATGAAATTAAATACTATAATTTAGTAGGCTACAACAATTGTGCCATAGAAATAAACAACTAATGCTGCTATATTCACAAATGAATTTTAAATAAGCAAAATGTAAATATAGTTGGTTACAAATCGCTTTCGTCTATTCCAGACATCTCTGGTGAATTTGTATATTCTGACACGACACGTCAACGTGTGGTGTTTGAGATGACATCAATGATTCCGGAGAACAGTGAAGTGACCATGGCAGAACTGAAACTGTTCAAGAAAGCCCCACACAAACGCTCCATACCAGAGAGAAGGGGCCACAGACCCGTCAACAACGCCCGGGTGAGCATCTACTGGGTGGAACCTCTGGAAGACGGGTCAAACCGAACTTCACTAGTCGATTCCAGGTAAGCAGAGACGGCCACAGACAGTCATTATTCTTTCTTCATTATGCTAATTCCACTGCTGATTGGCGTTAAGGAACAAGCATGCTAATTGTCACAATCATTGCCTCCTCAGGTTGATTCCCATTCACGAAACCGGCTGGAAGAGCTTTGATGTGACCCAGGCGGTGCACTATTGGTCGAAGAGGCGAATGGAGATGCCCATGCACCTGGAGGTGTGGATCGAGGGCGAGAGACCCGGCAGTTACGCGGCAGAAATGGCCAAGTGTGTCCGTTTCGCAACTCAAGATCCAAACGACAACACTCTGGGAAAACCTGAGCTCGTTCTTTACACCCTCGACCTCGAGGAGTTTGGGTAAGCGTGGCTTCATTTCAAAGCAGCATTATGCTAATAAACATCATTAACTTAATTTGAGATTTCTTACTGGAGACTAGGCTATACCTTGTATTATAAACTGAAAAAAGTCTTGAATATATTAAGTTAAATATATTCAAATATGTTTTGTTAATGCAGCGTAACTTTTTAAAGTAGCCTATTTATATGCACAATTTGCCACATTTACAAAAAAAAAAAAAAATATATATATAAGTTTCTGTCTGTAGTACACATGTATATCTAGGCCTATCTACTTAGCCTTATAACATTTTATATATGATTAAATTTTACTGAGAATTTTTGTAAATATGGCACATTATACACATAATTGCTTTATTTATTTATTTATTTGTTTAAACTTTAAAAAAATATTTTATAGCTATATGTAAAAAAATTAGTTAATTTTAGTGGAATTTATTTAAAACAAAATGTAGCCTACTCAGAAGAATCACTCTATTGTTATTCTAATTAAATACATTTTAATGTGATTTTTGTGTAATATGGGCTCCGTGGTGTAAAGTGTTACGGGAAGGAATTTCCCAAAAATTCGTACAATGTGTTAATATTCTTTTATTATTTACGTTGCAGGTCTAGCGGAGACTGTGAAGCCAACAAAGACAGTGAAATGTGTTGCAGGGAAAAATACTTCATCAATTTCCGAGCCTTGACTTGGACCCAGTACTGGATCATCGAACCATCCGGGTATCAGGCGTTCCGATGCAACGGCGGCTGCCGGCAGCCCAAGCGTAACTACGGTTACGGAGAGAGGAAGTGCGCGGTTGTGGAGAGCGCGCCGCTACCGATGATGTATTTAGTAAAAAAGGGAGATTATACTGAAATTGAGGTAGCCGAATTCCCAAATATGATTGTAGAAAAGTGTGGATGCGCAATGGATAATATTTCAGTTGTATGAATATGCCATTTGCCATCGGCCACGTGACGAAATGTACTTAAAAGCTATTAGGCTAAGAAAGGGTGTTGGCAACTTAACCCTTATTGAGATAGCTCAAGCACTTTGTATAGATTTGTAAATATTGCAAAATTGATATGCATTTATTTTTGCATTTGTATATGATGCCGTATGAAGTGAAAAGATTGATTTGTAGATGTTATATTTTGAGCAGTAAATAGAATGGGTTTGTTGTATATGTCAACATGTTGACTGAATATAAATTAAACTATTTTTCATTGAAACTTTCTCTACTCATTCACTGATTTTCTCAGTCAACCAAATAAATATTTGCATATTCCAGTATTTGCAAACGGCCACATGGAGCCCAGACATAAGTACACAAGGCAGTTATGTTTTTGTTTACTCTATACACACAAATAATCACTTATTAAACAAAACAATTTGTAGAGTTTAAGTGAAGTGTCAAGATCCTTCTTTAAACATGACTTACCTAACAGTGCAAATGGTTCTGATACAAAGTACATTGCGATTTTACAAAAAAATTAGTGGTAAATATACAAATACCAGTTCTCCAATCAGACCTTGATGTCCTTTTAATTTCTCTATTCATTTATTTAATGACAGCAGAATTTACTGTATTAATAACTATTTAAAGGGATAGTTCACCAAAAAAAAAAAATTGTCATTTACTTACCCTCAAGTTGTTCCAAACTTGTATGAGTTTCTCTCTTCTGTTGAACACAAAAGATATTTTGAAGAATGTTGGTAACCAGACAGTTGCTGGTAGCCATAGACTTTCATAGTGTGGAAAAAAAAAATACTGTGGAAGTCAGTGGGGACCAGCAACATTCACACAGGTTTGGAACAACTCGAGGGTGAATGATGGCAAAAATTTCATTTTTGGGTGAACTATCCCAAAAATATATTATATATTAAACATATATTAAACTGTTATTATACAGTTCCAATTGTAACTATACTAAGTTATATTATGGAAATATTTTGCATTTAGAGAACAATTCAGCGAGAAAACACAATGATTTATCTCAGAGGTTTATTACATTATTAAATGACACATTTCCTTACATTATGAAACACTTCAACATTCATCGCTGAAAAATCAAAGCCAAAATACAAACAACGTACCACCTGCCATCTCTCAAGAACACACAATGCCACATTTTTAGTACAGTTTAGTAAAGATATTTTTTATCCTCAAAATAGCGTATTTTGCACAAGCAGTGTCTGTGTAGTAAAACAGTATCATCACAAATCTCTCATGCCATGCTATCCAGTTAAAAAACACTTATTCTATTAAAGGACAGGGTCATTATCTCATCCCACAGGAAATCATTTACAGAAAAAAAAACAAAAGACAAAGAAAAAAAACAATACTTCCTGAAATAAGTTACTTTTACATCAATTTAAATGGTATATAGTTCAAATATTCCACTTAAACTATTACATCATGATAAAATACACCAATTTTAAGTAAAAAATAGCTGCCCTTTTTCTTTGGCCATTTGGCGCTTTATAAGAAATAGATTAATTCAAACAAATCAAGGGCCTGGCTTGATGAAAATCAGGATGTCTCACTGATGGGATGATGGGCTGTATGTGATATTATTGTGGTTTCAAAGATGAGTATCAAAAAGAAGGTTATGCAATTCGAGAAAATCCATATCAGTTAGTAAATCCAGTCAACTCTACAGTATTTCACAGCTCTCTCCATGTAACATTAGTAATGCATTTGAGAATTTAACATATAAAAGAACTTGCTTATTTGCTGGCTGTTCGATCTAAAACAGTTGTCAAGGCCACCATTTGACAAATTAATCCCAAAGGAAACTTTTTAGGACATTTCCTGTTGTAAAATGGTCTAAATATCGTTGTATAATGTAATTTTAATGTACACCAAAAACAGGTTAGTTGCATTATTACATAGATCAACGTAGTGGTTACTCATTTAAAACAATACCGTTTGCATTAAATATTTCGCAAAGCCATTTTAAAAAGTGTTGCTATAAAATGTTACTTAGAATGAACAGTACTAGTAAGTATAGTGCACAGTCGTTAGGAGTTATAAATCGACAGCTTTGTTGAATTGTGTAAACCAATAAGCACAATCAAGTGCTTAACTTCAGATGAATGTACATGTTTCATTGTGGCTTCTCTTGGTTTCTTAGATGACACAAATGCGTAAAATTATGCAGTGCAAAAGAAACATTATAAATCAAACTGACTAAATTGATTTAAAAATCTTTCCAGCGTACGCCCTACAAGATGAAGACAATAAAGTAGAGTCTGATGGTGCTGAATTAAGAGACAAATCTGATTGACATTCAAAGGCTCTTTGAAATGGATTGTTCACGATATCAGTCAAAAGCCATAAACGGTCATAGAAAAGCAAGCACATCATTTATTGCAAACATATGATGTAACTGTTACAGTCTGGGCTAACAAAGAAAAACATGAATCTATAAGAAGTAAATAGAGGACAATATTTTCACTCCTCCACTGAACATGAAGGGCAGAGATGCTGCGTAATTATGATTATTGACAAAAGATTCTAAAAGATTCAGGTTCACAGGGATTCTTAAACACTATAACTCTTACACACAAAAAAAAAAAAAACCTGAAAAATAATAATTTACATTGAGTAACAATGACATTTTACAGAATAAAATTCACAACCCTGAAATTCAAAGCATCCCTCGCACAAGACAAATGCTGGGATTCCTGATATAACAATATATCAAAGCTGTGATACAAAATAAAAGGGGGAGGAAATACATTTTACAAAAATCTAAGAGTGAAGCAAGCACACATCTATGTAGAACGTAGACTGTTCACCTCAGTAGGCGGAATGTTTGTTTGCCACTTGCTTCTCTTATTTAAAAATGGACTTCCTTTAAAAAATTATAATAAACAAGGACCATAAAAGTGGATGGTTATTCAGTGGCTGTGCATTCCAGTGCACAAGAGGCCATGAGTCTTTAATACAAATGCGCATTTAGTAATATCCTGGGTGGTACTGTTGATTCCATGGCTTCTGGTTCCAGAACTAAAGGGTCAAAGAAAGTTTCATCAGTCAGATGGACTACAATTTGATTTCATTATATAATACTTTGGAAATCATAGCCAATCTAAAGATTTTGAACAAGTTAGATTTCTCATTGGAAGTTTATACAATGTATGGCTTATCTGTGACCCTATTAAATATTAGCTTTCTCAATGGGACATATAATAGCTGTACTTACCCCTTGTTGCCAACTCTGGTTGAAGGCTTGGGCAAAAGATCCGTTTTTGTTGCCAAAACCACCACGATTCTGCTGATGGCCTCCTCTGCCACGGAACTTCTAACAATGTGAAAATCCAAAATTACTCTCCAAGTCAAAGTCAAATTGAGGTTTCACTACCATTCAGCAGTTTGGGGTCAGCAAAAGTTTTTTTGTGTTGTGACATCTCACAATTTATAGACTTTTCTTAGAATAGCAAGTCGCAACGACCTTTTTACATTTTTTTATCCCATGGCAAAAACAAGTTTCCATACCTTCTAGTAATGTTTTCTAGATTGATAAGAAATGTTTATTACAAGCCAAAATCAGCATATTGACTTCTGAAGGATCAAGTGACACTGAAGACTGGCTTTACCATCACAGGAATAAATGACATTTTAAAATAAAAAAATATATATATTGTTTTAAATGTTAATAATATTTCACAATATTACTGTTTTTACTGTATTTTTTATCAATTAAATGTAGTCTTATAGGTAGAAGACACTTTTCAAAAGCATTAAAAAAAAAATTGTACCAACCCCAAACCTTTCAACAGTAGTGTAGTCGCAAAAGACATACTAACCTGCTGGAAGTGTCCTCTGTTATTGGGTCTGCCTTGTCCACCGCCGCGGTGCATGTTACCTCTGTTTGCAGGCCCTCCGCGGCCCATTGCTCCACCTCTGCCACCTCTCATGTGCCCACCCCTGGGGACCATTCCCCGGCTGTGCATCCCACCGGCTCCACCTCGGCTATGGAACCTTCCTCGGAAGGCAGGTGGTGGCGGTGGCATGTAGCCACGTGGGTGACGATTAAAACCACGAGGTGGTCCTGGTACTAAAAGGAGGAAATATGAGGTTTAAATTCTCAATGTAAATTTAACATGACAGTTCACAAAAAATTCAAAAATAAAAAGCGACTTACATCCTCTGAAGTTTCCACGGGCCTGGAATCCACCTCTGCCTCCACGTGGGCCTGGACCACCACCCCTACCGAACTGGTTCTTAGGCCCTTTGCCTCGTCCACCTCCCTTTTTGGGGGTCACGGAGCCTTGGTTGGGTTTCTTTTCAGGTGGCAAAGCACTCTTACTCTCTTCCTTGTACTGCTCCAAGAGCTTGACGGCCTCCTCCTTCTGCAGTTCCACAAAGGTGACCTCGGAGAAGCAGTTTCCTACCTCTGGCAACGTGTAGATACCTGTAGGTAAAAAACAAACTTTTGTATTCCTGATGTTCCTACTTTGTGCCAGGTTGGTTTTTAATTCATTTAAACTATGCAGTTTTGAACTGCAAGGAAAACTAGAGGTGCAGTGGTGAAATGACATCATGTCTTACCTTTCATTTTCAGAACGGCATGCTCAGGTACATCTTTGCCATCGGTTTCTGCTTTCTTCCGTGTTCTTTCCTTGAACGCCTCTTCAGTGGGGAAGACCACTACAGCTTTGCGTTGGAAGCCAGCAAACAGACACATCTTCCTTCTCTGGGCTGGTGCAGACACGTTCGTCTGATCCAATATGTAGTTTCTCTTTTTGCGGGCGGCAATTTCAATAAACTTGCCCAGGAACAAAGGAGCACGCTGAGAGATGGCTGAGAGTTTCGCTGTGTCTTTGTTTTGCCTCTTCATGCTGCCAATCTGCAAGTCCAAAAAATGATTAGACAAGAAAATAAGATAGATTAAGACAGACAAGATAAAAAGTTTTTAAGAAGAATGTTTCTCACCATCATCTTCTCCAAGATGGCGTTG